AAAAAAAAGAAGTAAGAACGGCAAGACTTTGTCTCTGGCATTTTGACCATGTTATCAGGAGAAAACCAGTCCCTGGTAAAGGATGCCATGCTTGGCAAATTAGAACCTCATTCCAGTGAGAGGAAGACCCGCAAGGAGTTGGATTGACACATTGGCTGCAACAATGGCCTCAAAGATCACAGTTGGGAGGATGGTGCAGGACGGGGCTGTGTTTTTTTCTGGTGTGTATGGGCTCACTATGAGTCAGAATCCAATTGATGGCACCTTCCAACAGCCAAAGGACCATCCCATCTGTCTTGGAAGAAGTACAGCCAGAGTGCTCCTTAGAGGCAAGCATGGCAAGACTGCGCCTTACATATTTTGGACATATTGTCAAGAGAGACCTTTCCCTGGAGAAGGACCATCATGTTTGGTAAAGAGGAGGAGCAGCAAAAAAAGAGGAAGGCTCGCATCGAGTTGGATTGATACAGGGACTGCACTAATGGACTCGGACCTATGAACAAGGAAGGATGGTGCAGGACTGAGCGGCGTTTCTGTCTGTTGTGCATAAGACCACAACGGGCTGGAACGGACTCCCTGACACCTCACAATAACAACTACATAGCACATTAATCTTTTAATGACCTTGCAACAGTTGTACCAGATCGCAATGCTTACATGACTAAAAGGGGATCAAATTCTCCATTGGCTGCATATGGAATTGAATTGTGCCCCACAGCAAAACATGTGTGGGAACCCTAAAACTATACTAATGTAAGGATCTTACATTTAATGTAATAGTCATCCATAATGTAATCGAATGTAATACATCCATCAGTTGGAGGCAAACCAGTGTAAGGTGGATCCTAACCCGAATCACTGCTGAGTTACATAAAGGCAGCATAATGGACATGAAACACCCAGACAAGGGGCAAGCAAATGCCACGTGGCAAGATTTTGTCTTGTAACTTTGGAAATGTTGTCGGGAGAGATCAGTGTCAGGAGAAAGACGAAGTATTCCAAAAAGCCAAATAACACTCAGGGGGAGCGGAAAGAAAGGAATCGACCTGACGGAGCCTGAGATTGGGATGTTCACCTCCAGAGCTGAGAGGACATACATTCCGATTTTTAATATCATCACTAGGAAACAGCCAGGCTAGTTGCCTGGAGGTAGAAGAAAAACAGAAAGTTCTTTTCATATAATGTTACAACATTTTAGGCATGAGAAAAGCTGTGCATGCCTAAGTGTGTATTTATTGCAATTACCCCTAGATCCCTCAGGTATTTAGCACAGCATGACTGGGATACCGAGACATGTTGAATGGCAGAGGGGGCGTTCAGTTACCTTGGCTAAAGGATATAACTCAGTTGGGTGCTGAGTCATACACCTTCCTTACCTTCCCAACGGCACACACTGAGGGACTTCACAGAGTCCTGGATCAGTACGGTCTGCTTGCCCAGGTCAGAGGAGTACTGACTGACTTCAAGTTTAGCCATTCGTTCCCCCAGGAAACTCAGAGCGCTGTGTCATTTGCTTGCTGGCCCAACCTCTTTCTTTCACGACCATGACACCCTCCCGTGACTCCCAGGTCACTAAACTCATTCTAGATAGCTGATTTCTAGCTGTGCCACTAAGCCTGCCACTTCCTCTATGAGTACAGGCTTCTCTGTCTGCCGTCTTCTCAAGCACAGGCCCGGTCTTGTCCCCCAAGGCTTATAGGAACAAATGGATAATAAAAGAGTGACATTGGGGAAACAGACCGGGTTTGAGTTCTTTTGAAAAAAAACAACCTTCTGTGTTTCTTTTAGCACTTGAGATTTAAGGTATATCTTTATATGGGATAAGAATCCCTGGTGGCAGCATTGTGCTGCTGACTCGCGGACCACAGAGTTGCCAGTTCAAACCCACTAGCAGCTCTGTGGGGGGTGTCGGGGAGGTGGAGATTTATGATCCTGGAAATTCTGCATGCAGGGGTGCTATGATTTGGAATAGACTAATCAGCACTGGGTTTGATTTGGGGTATTTAGAATATTTCCCATACATTAATTCACTATGAATCCATCATTTTTCATATACTCAAAACATGAGATGAGGCAAGGAAAAGGCATAGAGTTTAGAATCTCTGCCTTTATTTCCCCAGTCCTTGGTTTCTCGGGAACATGCTAAATCTCACTCTTGCTGGAGGAACATCTTAGGACCTTGAGTCTCAGAATTAGAAAGTTCACATCCCCTGGATTTTTGAGATGTTCAATTGGAACCAAGAGTATCTCCCCAGATCCTTTATCTCATTTGAAAAGTTGTACTTGGTTCAGGAGGATTCTGTGAGATAAATCCCTATCTGCCTCTTAGCTCTTGACTCTCTTCTGAGGAGGGAGAAGCAGGGGTCTCATTTTGTTGAAAGCTCTCCTACTGCGGTTTAAAGCTATTTGCTTTTATTCTCTCTTCAATTTGAGAATAGTTGGCATTATTTTCTATTTGATAATCCTCAAGGACTTGACAATTGTTTGCAAGGCCATTCCCAAGCTCCTCCTTGAGACACTTTACAAATCTATCCCTTTAAACTTCATCATTTGTGCAGTCTTTCATCGTGTCGATAGCTCTCTCCTGGCTACCCACAAGGTGATAGACGCGTCTTTCCCTCCTATCCTAGACTGTTATTCTCCATTACTAAGGTAGCCAGTATAAAAGGAAAATTAGAGAATATGATTTTCTGCTTCCTCTCTAGACAACAATAAATGCTTTAGGTACTCACTTCTTAAACTTTTAAGGAGGAGTAGGAAAATGGGTTTAAAGCACAGGCTTGGGATCCCTGGGGCTTGGTTTTGAGTCCCAGATCAGCCTGTATGAACTGGGACAACTCGTTTAGTTGTTTGATGTCTCGTTTTTCCTAACTATTAAATGAGGATACAAATATCTCCATTGAGTTATTGTAAGGATGAATTAACTGAACATAAATCAAGTATATAGACTGATCCTTCACAATATTAACTATTCTAATTCTTGTCTAAGTTCAAAACCAACAGTAAGTTATGTATGACATTATTGATATCAGGAGCTTATTTTCAATTTTAATGATCCAGTTTACAGTACCTTACAATGCCACCCATTACCTTGTAATTTTGACACTAAACAGCTTGGCACTCTTCTAAAAGAAAATATGTGTATATAAGAACATATTGGTTTTTATAACTCCTTAAAAATTATTGCAACTTTTCTGAGCTCCAATTGCCGTGATTTTTTAAGTTGTGATTGTAATGCAGAAATAAGTTTGGCGTGATGGGCTGGAAATGGCAGAACCAGTCATCCTAGAGGTTTGTCGAGAACTGAGAGGTACCTTGGAATGGGGGATGTGACTACTGAAACCAGGAGAGTTGTATGCAAACATGGGTACTTAGCCACCCTCCCTGTCAAGGTTCTAGAAAATACGGATCCAGGAGAAAAGGAAGCAGCAGCCGCAGCAGCAGTGGTAATCACATCACACACACAAAGCAAGTCTTTTTGTTCTTTATTAAAAGATCATTTTATTGGG